AAAGGGCAGAGAGCTCCAGTCCGACTCAGACGCCAGCAAGGTGGAGGTGGAGTACTGGTTTGGGCTGGTATCATCAAAGATGAGCTTGTGGGGCCTTTTCGGGTTGAGGATGGAGTCAAGCTCAACTCCCAGTCCTACTGCCAGTTCCTGGAAGACACCTTCTTCAAGCAGTGGTACAGGAAGAAGTCTGCATCCTTCAAGAAAAACATGATTTTCATGCAGGACAATGCTCCATCACACGCGTCCAAGTACTCCACAGCGTGGCTGGCAAGAAAGGGTATAAAAGAAGAAAATCTAATGACATGGCCTCCTTGTTCACCTGATCTGAACCCCATTGAGAACCTGTGGTCCATCATCAAATGTGAGATTTACAAGGAGGGAAAACAGTACACCTCTCTGAACAGTGTCTGGGAGGCTGTGGTTGCTGCTGCACGCAATGTTGATGGTGAACAGATCAAAACACTGACAGAATCCATGGATGGCAGGCTTTTGAGTGTCCTTGCAAAGAAAGGTGGCTATATTGGTCACTGATTTGTTTTTGTTTTGTTTTTGAATGTCAGAAATGTATATTTGTGAATGTTGAGATGTTATATTGGTTTCACTGGTAATAATAAATAATTGAAATGGGTATATATTTGTTTTTTGTTAAGTTGCCTAATAATTATGCACAGTAATAGTCACCTGCACACACAGATATCCCCCTAACATAGCTAAAACTAAAAACAAACTAAAAGCTACTTCCAAAAATATTCAGCTTTGATATTAATGAGTTTTTGGGGTTCTTTGAGAACATGGTTGTTGTTCAATAATAAAATTAATCCTCAAAAATACAACTTGCCTAATAATTTTGCACTCCCTGTATAATGCCCCATTGAAAATACAATCACCTCGTTCCTCAGAATTTACATTTTAATGCCAGGTCTCTGAATGCAGTTTAATTCTGTCTCCCTTCTATTCCATATAAAATAAACCCCTCTTTACTTCCAACTTTTAGGTGATTTTTATCCACCCATACATTCTTTGTTGAAGGATAGAAGATTTAACATACCAAAAAAATTAAAAAAAACACTTCGTTGAATATCTTGTATCAAAATGTAGAAAGCTAAATAAAGGTACATTAGTGTTAATTTCTAAATGTATTCCATATCGTGCTCTTAGTACAGTAATTTTCTTTATTTTCCTGAAGTTAAGCTTCCCATTCATAGCAGGAGCTTTCACAGTGATATTAATGAAACTGGGCACACAGCAGAGAATCCTCTAGACTAGATCATGTCACACTGCTCCTGGCTATGAACATCCAAGCATTTCAAATGTCATTATGTTACACGGAACACTGCAGAGGAGAATTAAAAATAATAATAATTGACTGCAGAGAAAATGTTGCATTCACTTGTGCAATTCCAAAAATAACAGAATACTTGGGAATTTATCCACTAAGCAGTGGTTTTTGGTAAAAAGAGGAAGTTGTCAAATTTTGTCCAATATAGTCAAGTAAAAAATAAAGGAGAGATAGCAGTCTGTATTTCTGTATTGATCTACTGTAGCCCTTTTATTCATTGACTTTGTGATTACATTTAATTCTGGGCTGCCACCCCATATATTCTCAATTTGTGAATCACATCTTCTTTATGAACCGTTAAACCATATTATTAGCTCTTTCAGCCATTCACTTGATGTGATATAACCTATCTTAAGACATTTGTACGCCCTTAGATCATATTTTGCTATAGGTGCTTACTTGCTTTATTGTGTTTTGTGAAAAACTTTGTGATTAGCAATAATCAGCATGGTTTTATGAAACACAGGTCATGTCAAACTAACCTAATTGCATTCTACGAAGAAGTAAGTAGAAGTATAGATCAGGGTGTTGCAGTGGATGTGATTTACTTGGATTTTGCCAGGGCATTTGATACGGTTCCTCAAAATAGGTTAGTCTTGAAATTTAAAGAAATTGGTCTAAATGAAAATTCTTGTTCTTGCGTAGAACATTGGCTTAAGGATAGAGTACAAGAAGTTGTCATTAATGGTAAATTTTCAGGCTGGACAAAAGTGGTAAGTGGTGTCCCTCAGGGTTCTGTTTAACATTTATAAATTATCTTGAAAAGGGGCATTGAAAGCCATGTTTCAGTGTTTGTAGATGACACAAAACTTTGTAAAGTAATAAAATGTGAGCAGGCTATTGCTTTGCTGCAGAGGGATTTGGATAGATTGGGGACTGGGCACTAAAATGGCAGATTCAATTTAATGTAGAGAAATACACAGTTATGCACTTCGAGGTCAAGAATGCACAAGCAACTTACACCTTAAAAATGGTAGTGAATTTGGGATAATCGCACACAAGAAGGATAGTCAACAAATTAGGCAGCAATATGCAATGTCCATCTGCAGTTGCTAAGGCCAGTAAGGTTTTTTTGTCATGTATAAATAGGGGCATAAATTCTCGGGATGAAAATATAATTTTGCCTCTTTACAAATCGCTGGTAAGACCACACCTTGAATATGCTGTGCAGTTTGGGGCACCTGTTCTAAAGAAGGATATCATGGCACTTGAAAAAGTGCAGAAACGAGCTACAAAATTGATAAAAGGAATGGAGCATTTTAGTTACGAAGAAAGGTAAAAAAATCTAAATCTCTTTAGTTTGGAAAAACGGCGCCTGAGAGGGGATATGATAACATCATACAAATATATTCGTGGTCAGTACAAACCATTATCTGGAAATCTATTCATAAACAGGGCTATACATAGGACACGAGGTCACGCATTTAGGCTGGAAGAAAGGAGATTTCATCTACGGCAAAGAAAAGTTGATGTTTTTTACAGTAAGAGCAATAAGGATATGGAATTCTCTGCCCGAAGAGGTGGTTTTATCAGAGACCATACAGATGTTTAAACTGCAATTGGATAAATACTAGCAAAAACAACATACAGGGATATAATTTCTAATTAGTGGGGTAATAGCTGCTTGATCCATGGAGACATCTCACTGCTATTTTGAGGGCAAGATGGAATTTTTTCCTAGTTTGTTGCAAAATTGGAAGCGCTTCAAACTAGGTTTTTTGCCTTCTTTTTGATCAACAACAAAAACATATGTGAGGAAGGCTGAACTTGATGGACGCAAGTCTCTTTTCAGCTATGTAACAGCTTCTTTATGAACCCTGGAGCCTTACTCTGACTATTTCTAAGGGAGCTGTCTTTTAAGATCCCCTCTCTTTATATTTGTAGTTGTGATCTACCTAAAATTTCCCTAGTATCAACCTTTGTGCTCCTTTTTTCTACCCTGTAGGAATTGTTTTAATCACAATCGGGTAGCAGCTTGTAAATAGTTTCCCCTACTATCATTACAGGCTAACTACCATAGCCTCTCATAGGGAACTTACATCATCCCTTTGATATCCATTGTATTTTTTCTTTACAAATCATTATTTTTAAATATAACTCCTGGTTACTAATAAAGGTTAGGGCTTCCTTCATTTTTATCACTGTTCTCTTTTTCAAGGATTCCTGTTTAGTGTCTTCACAAGATTGTTTATTAGGGTTATTCCCTTACCTTAGAGAGAACAACCACAGGTAACCTTGGTGCTGTTTCCTCTCAGCCCTTGGTTGCCTCTCAGGCTGGGGGACAACAACTCAATTTTTTCCCTTATATGTGGGTACTTATGACATTGCACATTGTTGTCTAGTTTGTTTTCTATAACAGTTCTCAAATCCTTCTTGTGTTGTTATTCCTAATTCACTACCGTTCAGGGTGTAAATTGCTGTGCATTCTTTACCCAGAAGTGCATAACTTTGCATTATTCAAAAATAAATGTAATCTGCCACTTGAGTGCCCTGTCTCCCAATATATCTAAAACCCTCTTCAGCAGATCGATATCATGCAAACACTGAAATATTACTTTAAATGGCTATTTCATTTATAAATATGTTAAATGGAAGTACACCCAGAACAGAACCCTGATGGAGACTGACTTACTAATTTTGTCCAGCTTTATCGTTCATGGCATCTCTATGGAATCTATCTTTAAAAGGGACTCTCCAGTGTCAGGAAAACATATCTGTCCCTCTCTCTCCCAGCCATGGCAACGCTCCGCGTGGCACGCAGGCCGCGGGTCTCGCAGGAGTTATTAGAAGAGAGGAGAAAAGTAGAGGCAGTGTGCTGGGCCTCCTCTGCGGTAACAGGGAGCCGGGTGCTCCACCATGCCACCGGACCACCAGGGATGGAATTTCCCCCCTCCCAGGACACAGGTAAGAAGCAGGGAGGGGGGAGAAACATTTAATTAAATTAATATAAAATTTAAAAATTAATGTGAAAATGCCCCTTCCTCCCCCCCCATCCCCAGATTGCAGATTTACACACACTCTGCATACACCAATACAACCCACACACTCTGCATTCACCACACACTCTGCAATCACCACACACTAACACACACTCTGCATTCACTACACATTAACGCACACTCTGCATTAACTGTACACACAGCATCCACTACACAAACATCCTGTATTCACAGTACACACACTACATCCACCACAAATTGAAACACTCTGCATTCACTATACACAGACACTGCATCTAATACACACACTACAGACACTGCATCCACTAAACACATTTCATCTAGTACACACAAACACTACATCCACTACATAAACACACACATCACTGTACACACACTACATCCACTACTCAAACACACACTGCGTTCACTATACACACAGCATTTGCTACACAAACACACACTCTGCATTCACTGCACAAACAGTATCTAATACACACAAACACTACATCCATTACACACATTCTAATTCACTTCCACTATACACACCACATTCAGTCCTGCATCATTGTCAGCGGACTAGGTAGGGCGTGGGCGGGCCCGTGGGGAGGGAAGGGAACGGGGGTCCAAACCTTGTGCTTTGTCAGTGGCCCCAAAATTTCTGATGGCGGCTCTGGTACGGAGTATGTGTGTGAATGTAGGGGGTTGAATATAATGGTGTGTTTGTATGTAGTGCTCTCATTTGAATGCAAGGCTATATTTGTGTATAATGTTGGCGCTTGAACGCAGGTGTGCACATATATGTAGAGTTGGCATTTCAAATGTATTTGTAATGTCAGTGTGTGAACACTTACCTCCATAATGCACTGGAATCTCAATCTTTGGACCAATGACATAATGCCCTTCTTCCAAACTGTGAGCTGTTATTGTCGTCCACTGTCGGCATGAATGGATCAAGAGATAGTCATTTTCCCGCAGGCCTTCAATGCTTTCCGCTACAAATAAAACATGTGTTTTAGAAATAGATCTTCAACAATAATCATCATCATACAGGAAAACACAAACAGGCAATCAAATCTATTTACAGTGATATGAAACAAAAATACAATACTCACAGGAGAATTATCTGGGCATACAAAAAAACATGTGACATACAATAAGGGAGAGACTTGAATCCAATTAGCCTCTGTTTACAAATACAACACATGCTAAAAATAAATAACATAATTAACAAAACAAAATTAAATAACTTAAGTCAGAGGATTTATTTATGAAAAAAAAAAATTACATATATATATTTTTCCAACTTTTTTTTTTGGGGGGAGCAAATATTTTAATTTTTTCTCTGACTCATTAAAATGGTGAACACAACTCTGCTGGAGGGAACATGTTTGCATTTGAATGTAGTTTACTGTAATAATTTTAATGACCTAAGCAAATCCAGTACAATGACTGCAGGATAGAGATACAAACTTATTTACTACAGTCTAGATCTTGCAAGTGATATGCTTGTGTGATAGCATTTCCCACGAATGGGCTAACTCAGCATAGCTGTGTCTCGGCTGGCTCACCTTCCTTCTATGACTCATCAATTAGTTCTCCTATTACTTGCTGCCTCGCTTTTCATAGCAGGGGATCAATACCTTACCCTTACAGGTGACCTTCATTAAGCTGCACCGAAAATACTCTAGACTTTTATGGCGGCAGCATTTAGACTTAAACACATCATGGACAAATCTCTACTGTCTTCTTTATTATTGACTACAACTCCCATCAATCTTGACCAAGCAGAAAAGCCCAACAACAGCACATTTTCCAAGTGTCCATATTTAGGAGAGACAGTCCCTGTTTTGATCCCTCTATCCCTCTTTTCTATCCTAATGTTCCTCTTTTCCAGGAGCTCCATATTGTTGATGTGTCTTAGTGTACAACAGAGCTTTACAGCCATAATACTCACAGTAATGTGCCTTTAAACCACAATAAAGGTGTTTAGGAACCAGTCTGTGTATATAAGATACATTGTTCTACTTGCATAAAATATTAAGTCACCCAAAATTAATAAGAGCAGCCACGCCCCTACTAACGTCCCTAAAATGAAAGCACCACTCATTGTCCATTTGAATTGTTGGCAGGTATGCAACACCTTGAATTACATTGTTATTATTCCCAATGTCCCAAATCAAAGACTCAAAAACAATGGGGCTTATTTTTTGCAGAAAATTGCAATGATAAAGACAAAATGCAGGCTAAAATAGTTGATTTGGAATCTGGAAATACTCCATTGACCCCTGGCATCATATCATGGATGGTGTATACCCCTGTGCAATTTGTGTCAGCTAGTGGAAAGCTGTCCTGCTAATATACCCTTTGGAGACCATGTATTATGTAGGTAGGGAATCTGGAAAGTATACCAGACCTCAAAAGGACATCTCCATAGGCTTCCCTGTGGGGTGTAAATAATCATATGGTTTATTTTGGATCAACAAACAATCAACATGCAACATTTCAGCCTCAAGCCTTAATCATGTCATGTTAAACATGTATGTTTATTGATTTAAATAAATCTTATGAATATTTCCACCACACCACAAAGCCTATGGTTATACACTTTGAGGAATTTTGAAGGACTGAGGACCCCTGACTCTTACTTTTAAACCCTTAAAGGACCACTATAGTGCCAGGAAAACACTCGTTTTCCTGGCTCCATAGTGCCCTGAGGGTGCCCCCACCCTCAGGGTTCCACTCCCGCCGGGATGGATGGAGAGGAAGGGGTTAAACTTACCTCTTTCTCCAGCGCCGGGTGGGGAGCTCTCCTCCTCCTCGGCTGAATGCGCGCTCAGCTCTTGCCGTGCATGCGCATTCAGCCAGTCTCATAGGAAAGCATTATCAATGCTTTCCTATGGACGCTGGTGTCTTCTCACTGTGACTTTCACAGTGAGAAGCACGCAAGCACCTCTAGCGGCTGTCAATGAGACAGCCACTAGAGGCTGGATTAACCCTAATATAAATATAGCAGTTTCTCTGAAACTGCTATGTTTATAGAAGAAAGGGTTAACCCTAGCTGGACCTGGCACCCAGACCACTTCATTAAGCTGAAGTGGTCTGGGTGCCTATAGTGGTCCTTTAATTTACATGTGTGCAGACCAACCCTCCCGATTTGTATTTATTATTTTTTTCTGCGGTGGGGGTTGTTAACATGGAGAATTGTGCAATATCTGTGGCAAGCTGCTAGTACTGTCCCCATTTGGGTAACATCTAAAGCAAGGGTATTACTTTTACTGGAATGGGAGGAAATGTGATAGGGCAAATTGTCAAGTAGGCTAGCATCCTACCCAATAAAGCAAGTCTCTCTCTCTTATAAGTAATCTCTAGCTGCAACATGTTTACCATAAGACCTGTTAGAAACAGCCTTACCCTGTGTAATGCAACAGCCTGCATAGAATGTAACAGCATATACTGAAAACTAACTTATTGCACTTTGGACAAAAAGTGTTATTATAGGTAAAATTGCCTTTCAAACCACTTTATTTGTTAGCATTCTTTTGTGTTTGAAATGATTGCACTTTGCAAGGAAAAGTCTGATTATGTATCGGTTCCACCCTCTGCGTTTTATTTATTTATTTTTAAACAGAATATTTCCATGGTAACACGCCAGTAGAGTGCCGGGCATCATGTAGGATTATTGTACAGAAGTTCAATGCTTAAACGTTTAACTCTGTCAGAGTCCAGTAGAAATGTACAGATAGTTAGTTTGTATTTTCTCTCAAAGGTTTATCTACAGTTTCCATATATTCTACCATTTCACTTATTTAACGAGAAACTCCAATGCACAATTTTTTTAAAAAAAATTTGATCATTGTTTAGTAGATATATCCCCAATAAAACATACATGCAACTCATTATGCATTTTCTCATTAGGGGAATATCTAAAAACAGCTTGCAAAACCTGCAGCTCTCCTTTCTGCATCCTTTGCAAGCCCTCCCTTTCTACCCTCGCTGAGAATTTCTGTGTCTGTCCAATCACAGTCTTCCCAATGCAGTTAAATGAGAAGTCTTTGCAAGGTGGGTGCTCTGGGCAATTGCTTCCTCTTGAGTCTAGCTCAGCTGAGCTAAACAAACCCAGAAGTAACAGGACCGGTTGCCTGATTTACACCTTGGGGGGGGGCCCATACTCCTCTGCACAGTGACAATATCCCCTCTTGAGACCACACCCATAGTCTGTTAGCAGGATACTGGCCTTCAAGCCTCTCCAAGAGTCTGTGGCAACAAAACTTCAGTCACAGTCTCAACTGAGGGTGCACTACTGAATAGACAGTTTAGAATCGCACTACAGGAAAGTGTGCTTTCAAGTAATTACACACACTGATGTTAAATTCAAATTATACTCCAAATCAAAACTAACATTTATTTACATTTAGAAACAAAATGTGGAGCCCATTGCTGCAACTAAATTAGTATGTATAAATGTAAATCAAAATACTAGATAATACTACGCAGTTGCCAAGTTTGTGAAAATCAAGGTCATCAAAATGAACCATAACTTTAGAACACTGTCTAACACAGTGCAATAAAATAAAAGATTTAAAAAAGTATTGAATAGGTGATTTTTTATTTTATTTTTTTATTTTTGAAATGGTAGCACTCAAGGAAACATACTAAACTGTTCCAACCCTATTTTGGGCAATATATGTTTAGTCTTAGCATTATAAATGTGCTGGTGTTTTTTGTTTTTAAAAATCTGGGGGGGGTTTTAATTGAAAAAAATGTAAACAAACTTCTTCATTTTCTAAATATAAGGACTATTGTACATGTGCAGTTGTTGCAGTTATCAGAATGTTAACTTGCTTTGTGTAACTCAATAGATAACTTGGGTCAAATTACAGTATGATTTATAAAGAGAAGAAATAGAGGGAAGCAGGACTTAAAGAGATAGACTAAGTTATAAAATGCATTTTTTTAATGTATTTGAACAAGTCAGTTATAATAAAAATTAATGTATTGATTTTTTTTTTTTAAATCCTACTAGAAGCCTTAACCCCTTAAGGACACATGGCATGTGTGACATGTCATGATTCCCTTTTATTCCAGAAGTTTGGTCCTTAAAGGGTTAAATGCTGCCCTTGCTTAGATACAGAAGTTGCTTCTATAGCTTAGCTGATCTTTTCCCTTTCTAGCTATACTGTGTATGTACAGTTATCACTGCAAACTGTCAAATCCAACGCTTCTCTATGAGAATTGCTTCTATAGATGATAACACTGGATACTTAGAATTTCAAATCGAAGCCCCTAGCGTTGCTACTTGATTGATAGACTTGACGAAGGGAAGAAAGAAAACAGTACAGTTTCTCAGTTTTCAACTGCAAAAGAGTGCAGTAACCTGAATTTATTTTGGTGCTTACCCCTTAAAGGTACACTATAGTCACCAAAATGTTAGCTTAATGAAGCTGTTTAGGGGTATTCTAAATTAACCAGAATAAGTGTAGACATTAGATGACTCTTTACGGGAAGAGTTTATGAAAGCTGTGTAAGTCACATGCACGGAGGTGTATAAACAAAGTGATTTAGCTCCTAAATGGCAGAGAATTGAGCAGTGAGACTGCAGGGGCATGATCTAAAGACCAAAACTGCTTCATTAGGCTAAAGTTGTTTTGGTGACTATAGTGTCCCTTTAAGCATTGGAAGCCAAACTGTCTTTCTAAATAAGTCTTACATGTGCTTTGGAAACAAGGGCAATAAAAAAGTATTAGTCATTTTGTACTTTAAAGGTAGCTTTAACCCCTTAACGACCGAGGACGGTTCAGGACCATCATCTGCATTTTTGCGTTGCCGACCGGTGACCGTCCTAATGGCCTTATGTACTTACCCGATCGCCGTCGTTCCCCCGGCGGCGATCGGCGTTGCTCCCAGTGTGGGGAGACTGCCTGCAGCCCAGTCTCCCAATGGCGGATTAGGACCCCTGTGGCCATGTGATAACTCAACAGAGCGATCACATGGTCACAATAGGTGTCCTAGTGTCTGCCTGCAGGGGGACTGTCTGTGCTGACAGGCAGTCTCCCAGTTAGTGTAAAATAAAAAAATAAAAATAAAGGTTAATATTAATAAAAAATAATAATAATAATAATAATAATATATGTGTGTGTGTGTGTGTGTGTGTGTGTATATATATATATATATATATATGATATATAGACATTATATATCCTATATATATATATATATATATATATATATATATATATAATGTCATACTAAGTGTATTTTTATATTAAAAAGTACTTATATTAATATAAAAATACTTATAATTAAATTACACACGTGTATGTATGTATATTATAAAATACAAATAAGTAAATTAAATGAAAATTTTTAAAAATACAAATTTAAAAACAATTATATCTATATGAAATTTTATTCTAACTGTATTTTGGTATTAAAATATATATATTTATATCAAAATACACTTAGAATGAAATTGTATATATATATCTATGTATATATAAATAAAAATAATACGAAATATACATATGTCCATATACAAAATTACATAATTATATAAATATACACGTAGACTTCAAATATATAAATATGCATATATATTTAAATTCTACAAATATGCATATATATTTAAATTCTACATGTAATATTTTTACATAATTAAGTAATTTTATTAATTGCAATTTAAGGGACCTGCCTGCGAACCCAGGCCAAAAGTCCAGAGAATTTAATTTGCTAGCACTGAATTTTACCCTGTAACTTTCTATGACACTCTAAAACCTGTACATGGGGGGGGGTACCGCTGTACTCGGGAGACTTCGCTG